ATTTAAGGATAATAATCGAAACGATGTTCGTAATGAATTTAATTAAAGTTTCAGAATCTTTAATTAAAACATTACTAATACATGTCATTCCTATTAAGAATGGAATGATGTTATCCATATCATTCATATAGAGGGATATTGAATGAGTGTATTATGCATAATAAGATTATGTAGAACAGGACACAGACACAATTTGATTTTTTGATAATTTTCGTTGAGTATAGAAAATCAAATTTGAGTCTATTGATGGTCGTATATAGAATTATCTTAATCATGAGTTATTAGTAGACTCCTATTTGTGGATTTGTGTTCTTTGACTTACTCAGTACAGATTTTGAGATCCTAAATCTTATTCCTTACATCTTGGGAACATGATAAAATGGGTAGCCGAGAATGTTAATATACAAGATGGAATCCATTCCTTCTTCTTTGAAGAAGCATATAAATAATTCTCTTAAGGGTTGATTCGATACTTGAATAAGTAACAAGTTCATATTCATGAATGTGTTTTATGAATATACTATTCATTAGAGAATTAATGGTACTTAAGGATAAAGATGTAATTAGAGAGGTTAGTGGATTTTACCTAGCTCTACTTATGAATTATTTATGGATCGTCGATCTATATACAGTGACTATATCAAATGGACGCGTCAAGTTCTTAGAAGTAAATTATGTCTATAATTTCGAGAGTGCAATTCTAAGTTTTTAGTAGAGTAACTTTTAGAATTAATAGAATTAATTAATTAATTAAAGAGTTTAATTAATTATTAATGTTATTGGAGCTCGAAATGATAGGTCCATAAGTCCCCTCGTCATCCTTGTATTATTTGCAAGACAACATGAATTATTAGGATTTTGTTTCACTCGTGAATAATTAATTGAGAATTAATTATACATTAAATAATGTGATTCTTTAATTATTTTGTCACACACTGTGGTGGGACCACAGGGGGCGTGTGACATCGGAAAAAATCTCACCGGAATTTTAGTTGCTTGCTCTCTAAGTAATCCGGTTTACTTGTTCGACAAGTTTTTCCAATTAAATTCAATGAGGAAAGTAAGATGTTACTTTATTTGGAGTTGAATTTAAGTCAAAAATGGAAACTGGATTAGGGAGGAATTTTGTCCTTCTTTCCTAAGAGATGGTCGGCCACCCTATAGCAAAAGGGAAGGAAAGTTTGTTTCCAAAAGAAAAAGAAAAACTGTATTTTGAATGAGATTAAAACTATAGTAGTCACTGATTTCTTATTTTATTTGTCTACAAGCAAAGGTTTCTCCTAATTGTCTATAAATATGAGACAATAGAGATTGGAGAAGATTGAGTGATTTTCTCCTAATTTTGCTAGGTTGGCTGAAAATCCTAAGAGAGAAAAAGAGAAGAAAAGTTCTTCCAATTTTCCCAATTCTTTCACATACATGCGTTGTTAGTGAAAGAATACTAAATTAGTGAGTGAACATTCCGATAGTTATACCTTGAGCCCACACTCATCGTCTTGCGAAATCAAGGAATAGACAAGGAAGGCTTAGGTGTTCTAAGAAAGCTTTTAGAACGAGGAACATTCGTTGGCTAAAGACCTCAAGTTATCTTCTTAATTATTAGCAAGGTATCTTTTCTTACATATAAATGAGATTAATTTATTTGGGCATAAATTAATATAATCTATTATAGCGTATTCAAAAGG